AGAACGTTCTGGGGGAGTTTCAGTGGATTCCTGCTCTGGGAATTCCTGGATTCCAGTTGGGATCATGGATTTGGGTCCCCAAATCCCAAAATCCCAATCAGGACCAAAGATCCACCTTGGTTATTCATGGAATCCAAGGATTCCAGTTGGGATCCAAGATCCACCTTGGTCATTCCAAAGGATTCCCATGGATTTGGCTCCATGAGTGTGGAGAAGGTTCCGGCAAAGCTCGGCTGGGTTCCCAATCCGAGAATTCCTGGATTCCAGCCGGGATCCAAGATCCACCCTGGGTTATCCTGGATTTGGGTCCTCAGACCCCAGGATTCCACTTGGGATCCAAGATTTGGGTCCTCAAATCCCAAAATTCCAGTTGGGATCCAAGATCCACCTTGGTCATTCCAATGGATTCCCATGGATTTGAGTCCTTGAGTGTGGAGAAGGTTCTGGGGGAGTTTGGGTGGATTCCCGCTCTGGGAATTCCAGGATTCCACCCAGGATCATGGATTTGGGTCCTCAAATCCAAAATTCCAATCAGGACCAAAGATCCACCTTGGTTATTCCTGGAATCCCAGGATTCCAGCTGGGATCCAAGATCCACCGTGGTCATTCCCATGGATTTGGGGTCCTTGAGTTTGGAGAAGGTTCCGGAAAAGCTTGGCTGGGTTCCCACTCTGGGAATTCCAGGATTCCAGCTGGGATCCAAGATCCACCTTGGTCATTCCAATGGATTTGGGTCCTCAGACCCCAGGATTCCAGTCGGGATCATGGATTTGGGTCCTCACATCCCAAAATTCCAATCAGGACCAAAGATCCACCTTGGTTATTCCTGGAATTCCAGGATTCCACTTGGGATCCAAGATCCACCTTGGTCATTCCCATGGATTCCATGGATTCGGGTCCCTTGAGTGTGGAGAAGGTTCTGGCAAAGCTTGGCTGGTTCCCGCTCTGGGAATTCCTGGATTCCAGCTGGGATCCAAGATCCACCCTGGTTATTCCTGGATTTGGGTCCTCAAATCCCAAAATTCCAATCAGGACCAAAGATCCACCTCAGTCATTCCAAAGGATTCCCATGGATTTGGGTCCTTGAGTGTGGAGAAAGTTCTGGGGGAGTTTGGGTGGATTCCCGCTCTGGGAATTCCAGGATTCCAGTTGGGATCATGGATTTGGGTCCTCACATCCCAAAATTCCAATCAGGACCAAAGATCCACATTGGTTATTCATGAATCCAGGATTCCAGCTGGGATCCAAGATCCACCTTGGTCATTCCAATGGGTTCAACTCAGGAGTGTGGAGAAGGTTCCGGAAAAGCTTGGACGAATTCCTGCTCTGGGAATTCCTGGATTCCAGTTGGGATCCAAGATCCACCCTGGTTATTCCCATGGATTCGGGTCCTTGAGTGTTGAGAAGATTCCCTCAAAGCTTGGCTGGGTTCCCGCTCTGGGAATTCCAGGATTCCACTTGGGATCATGGATTTGGGTCCTCAAATGCCAAAATTCCCATCAGGACCAAAGATCCACATCGGTTATTCATGGAATCCAAGGATTCCAGTTGGGATCCAAGATCCACCGTGGTCATTCCAATGGATTTTGGGTCCTCAGACCCCAGGATTCCAGCCGGGATCATGGATTTGGGTCCTCAAATCCCAAAATTCCAATCAGGACCAAAGATCCACATTGGTTATTCCTGGAATCCCAGGATTCCAGCTGGGATCCAAGATCCACCTTGGTCATTCCAATGGGTTTGGCTCCAGGAGTGTGGAGAAGGTTCCGGAAAAGCTTGGCTGGGTTCCCAATCCGGGAATTCAGGATTCCAGTTGGGATCCAAGATCCACCTTGGTCATTCCAATGGATTCCCATGGATTTGGCTCCATGAGTGTGGAGAAGGTTCCCTCAAAGCTTGGCTGGGTTCCCGCTCTGGGAATTCCAGGATTCCAGTCGGATCATGGATTTGGGTCCTCAAATCCCCAAATTCCAATCAGGACCAAAGATCCACCTTGGTTATTCCAAAGGAATCCAAGGATTCCAGTTGGGATCCAAGATCCACCCTGGTCATTCCAATGGATTCGGCTCCAGGAGTGTGGAGAAGGTTCCGGAAAAGCTCGGCTGGATTCCCAATCTGGGAATTCCCAGGATTCCAGCAGGAATCCAAGATCCACCCTGGTCATTCCTGGATTTGGGTCCTCAGACCCCAGGATTCCAGCTGGGATCCAAGATCCACTTTGATTATTCTGATCCTAATCCTGATCCTAATCCTGATCCTAATCTAAACCATAATCTTAGTCCTAATCCTAATTCCAATTTTCCTTTGGAACTCCCAGCTCCGGAAAATCCCCCTTCCACTCGAACTTAAAACCAAGGATTAAAGCCCAAATCCCGGAAAAACCTGGGATTAAAGCCCCAAATCCCATAAAAACCCAGGGATTAAAGCCCAAATCCCAACATTCTGACCCTAAAACCCGGGATTAAAGCCCCAAATCCCATAAAAACCCCGGGATTAAAGCCCCAAATCCCATAAAAACCCAGAATTAAAGCCCAAATCCCAACATTCCCACCCTAAAACCTGGGATTAAAGCCCCAAATCCCATAAAAACCTGGATTAAAAGCCCCAAATCCATAAAAACCCAGGGATTAAAGCCCCAAATCCCAACATTCCCACCCTAAAACCTGAGATTAAAGCCCCAAATCCCAAAAAAACCTGGGGATTAAAACCCCAAATCCCAACATTCCCACCGTAAAACCCGGATTAAAGCCCCAAATCCCAACATTCCACCCTAAAACCCGGGATTAAAGCCCCAAATCCCATAAAAACCTGGGATTAAAGCCCCAAATCCCAACATTCTGACCCTAAAAACCCGGATTAAAGCCCCAAATCCCAACATTCTCAACCCTAAAACCTGGATTAAAGCCCCAAATCCAACATTCCCACCCTAAAGCCTGGAATTAAAGCCCCAAATCCCAACATTCCAACCAGATTAAAGCCCAAATCCCAACATTCCAACCGGATTAAAGCCCCCAAATCCCAACATTCCCACCCTAAAACCTGGAATAAAGCCCCAATTCCCATAAAAACCCAGATTAAAGCCCCAAATCCCAACATTCCAACCCTAAAACCTGGATTAAAGCCCCAAATCCCATAAAAACCTGGAATTAAAGCCCCAAATCCCATAAAACCTGGGATTAAAGCCCCAAATCCCAACATTCTCACCCTAAAACCCGTGATTAAAGCCCCAAATCCCAATGTTCCGACCCTAAAACCCAGGGATTAAAGCCCCAAATCCCAACATTCCAACTGGATTAAAGCCCCAAATCCAACATTCCCACCCTAAAACCCAGGGATTAAAGCCCCAAATCCCATAAAAACCAGGGATTAAAACTCCAAATCCCAACATTCCCACCCTAAAACCCAGGGATTAAAGCCCCAAATCCCAATGTTCTGACCCTAAAACCCGGAATTAAAACCCCAAATCCCACCGGATTAAAGCCCCAAATCCCAACATTCTGACCCTAAAACCTGGGATTAAAGCCCCAAATCCCATAAAAACCTGGGATTAAAGCCCCAAATCCCATAAAAACCCAGGATTAAAGCCCCAAATCCCAACATCCCAACCGGATTAAAGCCCCAAATTCCAACATTCCCACCCTAAAACCTGGATTAAAACCCCAAATCCCATAAAAACCCAGGATTAAAGCCCCAAATCCCAACATTCCACCCTAAAACCTGGGGATCAAAGCCCAAATCCCAACATTCCCACCCTAAAACCCGGAATTAAAGCCCCAAATCCCATAAAAACCTGGGATTAAAGCCCCAAATCCCAACATTCCAATCGGATTAAAGCCCCAAATCCCAACATTCTGACCCTAAAACCCGGGATTAAAGCCCCAAATCCCATAAAAACCCAGGATTAAAGCCCCAAATCCCAACATTCCAAGCCTAAAACCCGGGATTAAAAACCCCCTAATCCTATAAAAACCTGGGATTAAAGCCCCAAATCCCAACATTCCCACCCTTAAAACCCGGGATGAAAACCTGAAATCCCGTAAAAACCCGGGGATTAAAGCCCCAAATCCCAACATTCCCGCCCTAAAAAAACCTGGAATTAAAGCCCCAAATCCCATAAAAACTCAGGATTAAAGCCCCAAATCCATAAAAACCCGGGATTAAAGCCCCAAATCCCAACATTCCCACCCTAAAACCCGGGGATTAAAGCCCCAAATCCATAAAAACCCGGGGATTAAAGCCCCAAATCCCAACATTCCCACCCTAAAACCCGGAATTAAAACCCCGAATCCATAAAAACCCAGGAATTAAAGCCCCAAATCCCAACATTCTCACCCTAAAACCCGTGATTAAAGCCCCAAATCCCATAAAAACCTGGGATTAAAGCCCCAAATCCCATAAAAACCTGGGATTAAAGCCCCAAATCCCATAAAAACCAGGAATTAAAGCCCCAAATCCCAACATTCTCACCCTAAAACCCGTGATTAAAGCCCAAATCCCAATGTTCTGACCCTAAAACCCGGAATTAAAACCCCAAATCCACCGGATTAAAGCCCCAAATCCCAACATTCTGACCCTAAAACCTGGGATTAAAGCCCCAAATCCCATAAAAAACCTGGATTAAAGCCCAAATCCCATAAAAACCTGGGGATTAAGGCCCCAAATCCCAACATTCTGACCCTAAAACCTGAATTAAAGCCCCAAATCCCAACATTCCCCACCCTAAAACCTGGAATTAAAGCCCCAAATCCCAACATTCCAATCAGATTAAAGCCCCAAATCCCAACATTCCCACCCTAAAACCTGAATTAAAACCCCAAATCCCAACATTCCCACCCTAAAACCCGGGATTAAAACCCCCAAATCCCATAAAAAACCCGGAATTAAACCCCCCAAATCCCAACATTCCCACACCCAAAACCCAGGATTAAGGCCCGGCTTTGCCCCATTCCCCGTTTTTCCCCTCCCATTCCGGGTTTTTTTCGGGAATTCCGAGGCCCCACCTCGAGCAGGAGCGGCCCCAGCGTCTCCTTCTCGATGACGCCCTGGCTGCTGGAGGAGATGTCGATTTCTGCACCTCGTCATCCGCCGTTTTTTCTGGAAAAAATATCCCAAAAAATTGGGAATTTTCATTTTTTTCAACCCTAAATTCATGAAAAAAATCCATATTTTTTCCCTGGTTTAATTCTGGAAAAAAAAATTGAAATTTTCACTTTTTCAACCCAAATTTTATGGGGAAAAATCAATTTTTTTTTTAGTTTAATTCCT